GCAAGGTTAATTAATACTTCCATGTGCTCTGACAGCTTGCAAGGGAGGAAAATCTTGGCCGAAAATTTCGCAGATGCGCTGAATTGTTTCCAGGTTTGCGCTGACGCTATTTTCATCCGCGTAACTACCTGCCGGATTATTCACGCGGCTGTAATGTAATCCAGCTCGTACAGGCTAGTCCGGTAGTTTGGGTTAGGAATTGGCGGTAGTTTCTACGCGGAATAGCAGCTCTATTCTTCAGTCTGCGGTTGCCTAGTGTGAATATTCTGCGGATAGATACCTGTGACCGCGTAATCCTGGCCCGATCTGGAGGGCCTGGTAATTTAGATTACCTATTGACGTTGTACGTATCACCTAACGATTCAAGGTGTTCCATTGAACCAACATTTCGTTCTGACCACCTGATAATCGTGGATTCCGCAAAGTATCCCCAAAACGTCCTACTTCGGCCAAACGTGTATTCTGCGGTCAGAAGCTAGCATCTAAAGATATTATACATAGAACTATTCCATAATCGAGTGGTATGCCATTTAATAAACGTTAATCTATTCAGTTCTCGTCTCTATTTCAATTATTCGACCAACCGCGTATCGATTTTGTATTAATGATTGGAATGAAAGAATTGAATTTAGTTCAAGCTCGCGTTGGCATTCGGTCCGTCGTTCTCGGTATGATGGTGACGTACACCTAGTCTGTGGTATTTCTTTTTTTGACGCATACTGACGTTCCACTAATACATATTTGCGACGATGGACAAAAAACGAGACACCTCACATACGTTCCATCATTGTTATCGTTATCACTCTCGAGATCAGGAGTTCGGCCTTGTATCCCGTTACTCCGGTACAGTAAAAAAGAAAAAGGTAAACGTTTGTCGGTCCATAAGCTTCCAGAGATATCGTCGTGTGAAGACACATTTTTGCAACTGTTTCTTCACTGTCGTTTTTTTCGGCGCCGCTTTTTCCTCATTGTTATCCTTGTCGCACACTGACTGTCTCACCGGTCTAGACATTCAGTTGATACACGCATCATCGCGCAGAATCATTTGGGTAATCTAACAGGGGGTGTTTCCCAATCTCAGCTTCGCATCTTCAGACTTGATTATTTAATTAAGGATTATAGGTGTGAAATAAAAATGCCACAGTCATTTACATTCGAAACACTCTTAAAAGCGATTCATTCTGTCATTTTCTACCATGGTGAGCGTTAAGATTGCTTAATTTCCTATAGTATTGCGTATTCATGATATTTGAAGTTCATCAGAAAAACGCCTTAAGGTGGCCGCAGTTATTTCATTTGGAGCCATTATCATTAGTAGATATCCACTGTCCAGCGCGCACAAGCACAAATATTCGAATGTCGTCGGGTGGAGCACCGACACTCGAATTGCAATCGATTATCCGAACATGAAATTCCATAATAAATAGAATGGCATGCCAGGACACGTTCAATAACCCCCTCGGTTTCAGTGAAACGTTAATTTCATCATTTCTAATCTATCACGGACATTAAGAAATAATTCAGCCGATTATGTCAAGTATCGAATATAATCGGATATGTCAAAGGTATCGAAGATAAAAATTATCTTTAACTTAAATACTAATCATCGTTGGTATAGTAACTTAAATACTAACTATCGTTGGTATACAATACAAGTATGAATTGAAATTACAGTCGCGTCATACGAATTCGAAGAAAACAACGAAGGGAAATACGAAGCAACAGCCGATACACAGTTCCTAATGGTACAGCGAGCAGACCACCGTTTGCAAATCGCACGCCACGGGCGTATCCTAACTTCCTAATTATTTGAAACACTCGGCAGAGAGTGAGAACAAAGGCGCTCATTACTCTTACACGCGGGTTTCCCCTTTATGTATATTGATCGGTCCTCGCGTCTCCATGTAAGCAGCTTTCGCACAATCAGTTGATTACGCCAACTTGGAAAACCTGTGTGTCCCTCACACCACGCCCGTGTACTACGTGTGTCTAATTGACTCTTCTTTGTCGAGGCGGGCGAGCGCACATCGTGCCCGCAGGTGCAATTCGCGTTTTCCGCTCAATGTATTACGTTGCATTAACGAGTACGACTCATTTACAAATCGTGCTCTTGGGACGATGCATCCGGCCCGTTTCACTCGGGTTATTTTTTCAGATAATCCCCGTGTAGATTTTATCCGACAGCCTCTTGAGAGACCCAACGATCGGTCAGGCGTTTCCATCATCGGAACTGATTTCATTTCCTCGCTCGCGTTTCGTAATAATCATCTTATCGATGTCAGTTGATTTTATTTTAATTTTCTCTCTCTCCTCTCGATATCATCTAAATTTAATTCAAACGTCGATATTGTACGTTGCAAGTCTTCACACGGTCGATCTTTCTACAATGGTAGACATTAATTACAGTCGCGGTCTGCTGAAAGCCGATTCCCTTCTCAATCCCTGGCGTTGCCCGTTAATCTAGATAGCTGAAGTCAAGTCGGCTGTCCGACACCGGGCATCCACCAACCCGACGCTTATATCCGGGCAGCGTGGCAACAATAATAATTATAGTCAGGGAACTTTCCTATGGACGTTTAACGATATAAATCTGCGTCTTCATTGGGGTTCACCCTTTAAACGGTCTAAAATTGCAATTGGTATCAGCTTCTTTAACGAGAAATTTCATTTTCGAATCACGAGTGGCTCGACTGCTCACGTTTACGTTCTAGTAAGTATTTGAAATCCCATACATTAAATGAGCAATTTATGTAACAAAAAACGATTCTTCTGGCTTTTTGCGAACGCGGGTAGAGAAGTGGCTTAACGCTATGGGAGAAAGAGAGAGAGAGAGGGATGGTCTGAATGTCTGAGCGAGGGGTTCGGCGTAGGAGAGAAATTCCCAAGAGGAGCATAAAGCCGTGGACAGCCGCGCCACCCTCTTTCCGGTGGCATCCTGATGCGGAGCCTGTAGCTTGCACCGCGTTTACGTGCTCTGTCACGGTGGCTCGGTTGTGTATAGTTGACGGGCACGACGACACGCACACGACGATAAAGAGAGGGTGAGAGGCGTCATACCGGCAACTGTTGCATCCGCGCGATCCCCCGCACACGCTCTTTTTACTTGTCTCATCGCCATGCCGCGGCGCCAAGAAAAATTACTCGAGAACTGCTGTGCAGGGATGTTGTTCTTCTTAAACGACGCTAAATGTAATAACGCCGCGTTCAATTCGCGGTACGAGCATCGGTTCATTTATTGTCTATCGGAGAGCCTCGATAAGTATTTAAAATTAATTAGAGTTCAATCAAGTATGTCTATAAATCATGAATAGTTTACAGCAATAAAATGAGGAAAGTAGGACCAGAAACGTATTTTAAAAATAATTGTGTAAAAATAGTATAGATGGATCGATTCTTATCTAAAATTGTTCCATCACTGAAAAGGAGGAATTAAACGTGTTTACAGTGGTCCATACGTTTCTGCGCAATCTGTAATAATTGTATATGGGGTGTTGGATAACTCAGATGGCCTGTAAACAGGCGGGGTGCATAACGGTATAACCTGCGAATCGTTTTGTGTATTGCGATAAATTTCTCGATCCCCGCGCCCGGAGGAATGTTAATGCGATCCGAAAATATTTAGTATGTGGTATCACTGCGTCGTCATAAATATTTAATAACGGTTGTTGATATTCGCATTAATCGCGAGCGTTCCGGGCGAAATATCGTGAGTTTAACTAAAGCTTCGCGTATTATTTAATAATTCATTGTTTCGCCCGGGCTACATCGTACCTCGTCTGCGCAAAAATCGGATATGCATTCCGTGCCCGTTAATTTTCCATTGTTACGTTTAAACAACGTTAGCACTTATTATATGTATTTATGGTTCCCGTCAATCGGAATCGGTTTTAGAGAATCTCGACGAACAACTGTTGCGCGGATTCGTCCCTTTTGTGTACGCCGTTTATATTTCCATACGGAGGGAAACCAAACACCCTCCGCTTTGTCTTTCATCCCTTTAACGCAGGGGGCCGGGTGGCCAAGGACCGTGCAGCGTCGCGACGTCAACGCCGTTTGACACTGACGTTATCGACGAAACAATTGTTTCCCATGTGGTTTCACGGCGAATGACAGGAATTGCAGAGAAGGAAATTAAAAGGCTGCAGAAACGCTGGATTCTGACGTATCCTCTGTTCAATTATTGGCTTCGGTTTTTCGCGCTTTCCCCATTCAATTAAAAATCGATCGCGCACGGGCTCCCGGTGTACTATGGAGTTTACCATTAAAACGTTGCGAAAGTTTCGTTTGCTCTCTGAAGCAATCTAACAAATTCCTCGCTGTACTTGTAACATCTAAAAGATTCATAACCGTTGTATTCATCTCTCGTTTACCTCTGTACCGGTTTCGTGTCAGTGCGTTTGTATTTCCTTTCTCCGTGCAATGCCGCTTCTTCCTCCCTTGAAAAGGGTAGCTTCGCAGCACTTTTTCTAAATTATTCTGTCAGTAGTCCAGCCGCCAGCTTCTTCTCTGTTCAGTTAAGAAATAATATCCCAACGTTTCCGTTCGCTTATCCGTTAAAGTATAGTTTAGAAAATTCTAATGTATCGACTGTTCGTTTCTACCAAAAAATTTAGAGATCATCTCACTGCTCGTTGCAACATTGAAAGAGGAAGTCGAGCATAAAAAAAGGAACTTCCTCCAGCCGTGCTACCGTTAGATTCGCAACTGTTGCGTTTCTTTGTTCATTTTTCTATCCTTGTTTCGCTGTCCAACAGCGTGGCATCCTTCTCTCGGCGAAGATATCGCGGACGGGGAGCGGAGGTATGCAGTTCCGGTTCGCGGAGGAGCGTCGGACAGACCGTGCGCGTCGAAGAATCGGAAGAAAAAGCGGGTGGAGGGTGGAAAGCCACGGGAAAACGAAACGAAACGGTACGACGTGGCGCGGCACGACCGTGAGCGCCCTCGACGGAGACGCGTCGGGACGTCGAGCGTCGCGGCGCGCTGTGAAAACGGAGGTACGACGGCGTTCGAGCCAGTCTGCGTCCGCCAGTCGTCGCGACGTCCTCGCATCGCAGTGACTTCGCGCCGATTCTTCCCCTTCGACACGTCGCATTACAACAACCGACGTTGTTTAACAGTCCTTGCAGGACATCCGAAATTCCTTATTGAACATCGTGTTTTCCATCTCATGAATCAAAGTCCCGAGGTCCTCCGGGTCAAATTCCTGTGAAGGGTCGGGTGTTCTTTAGAATTCAAACGTCAGGTGTAAAGAACCTCCGCGATCAAAGTGCTACGAGGACACTGAGAGAATCGTCAGAGCGTGATCAATCGGTTATATAAGAAAAGTAAGAAACAGTGGTTTCCATCCGTTTCGAAAAGTCGTTGGGGATTCTCTGTCCCTTTTCCGGGTCGCTTTGCGCGCGGCTCTTCTGAGTCAACCCTTTTCTTCGCACCTGTGCGTGCGAACTTCGGTGACTCGTCGTCACGGTGGTCAAAAGGGAAGAGTATCATAGCGGAGAAAAACAGAAAGCTCGAGCGTACCTCTTTCCAATTTTCCGCCCTTTCGTCTCTCCACTCACTTGAATCCCGAAAGAGTCTCTCTGCGGCTCGCCGTGGATGGATCGCCGGCTTTGATACTCAGCTCCGATATTCCTCGGCCACCATTGTTCGGTGAGTAATTTCATGAGTAGACACGCTTACTTACGTGCGCATCGCGTGGCTCTGGGTCGCGATTCATTAAATTGGATCAGCGTTTAACACCGTTTTACTCGTTCTTTTAACGTCACGCGGTTGTTCCACGTTACCACAGCTTTCTAGACGATTCAACGTTTCCATACGGTATGATCAAACGACCGTTCCATTAATTCTGACAGCAATTATTTTATCTCGAACTTATGTTGTTGAATATTAAAAATTATATCTACGTCATTGTGTCCAGGGAAACATTGAGCCGTGAAACATTTTTAATTGTAGTTGCATTAAGCCAGTCATTTCGCTCGGATACTTGTGTTCCATTTGTCATTCGATTTCAGCACTATCGCTTTTAGACACGGAACAATTGAAATAATGGACCAGCAATTTGGTCGCAAATCCTAAGAATCGCGTTCCCGAGTGAAAAACACGATTAACATTGGATTAATTCCTCGGAGGAGCGAACAAGTGCAATTAAATCCTTCGACCACTAATGACCGCGAGCACTCGTGTCCTGCGCAAATGATATTTAAATGAATACACGCGGCCTGTATATTAATCGCGCCGCTAAACAAGGCCGCGTTTTCGTGACGATCGTACGAGTTTCGTTGCACGTTAACTGATCCTGCAACGGTAATAAATATTTTCCCAGTAATTTACATACCTCCTGTTCTGACCTATCGCAATTCTCGAACGAACCTCCGTTTCAAAATCACTGTAACAATTTTTTTCCTCAAACGAAGATAGGAAAATGTGTTTTATGTACGTTCGATGCGATTAACGGTGTCCAGCGAGAATGTATTTTGCCTGCATTAATAACGGATAAATGAAACGGAATATGTCCGGTGATAAATCCTGACGGTGGACAGCGTTTTTTGCAAATGTGGGATTAAAAAGTTTGGCTCTGGATCACAATTCGAAATCGAAGGAAAATAATTACGGTTCAGGCACACGCAGATATTTATTTTCTTTTATTAATTGCAATGAAAATGATTTCATGTTCACTCATCCCGTTGGTTCTCCCCGCGCAGTTTCCCGGTTCTGTTCACCAAAACGTTCGATTCCCTCGTTGTTTCCGTGCTGCGTAGTTTTCATTTTTTTTTTCACTCTTTTATTTTCGACCAGCGTTCCTATCCTGAAATGAAGCTGCAACCACCGGCGAGGTATTTTTAGAAGGCACAAAGCGTTTCACTGTCGAAGCTGTATCCGTCATAGTAATTCAGTTTCCTCTTGCTTCAGGGTTGCCCTTTTTTCATACGTATCCAAATGTTTCATGACAGGCTGAGAATTGAATGAAATATCTTCATATTTGCGCAAAACGTAAGAACGTCATGAGTCGTACTTAACGTTTTAATTATGCTCACGTTTTACGTCGTTCGTTAGTAACTGATTCGACGATGAAATGAAAACATTGATATCTACCATCATACGTGAATATATTAAGCTGACTAGTACTCGAAATTTATGCGTCCGCTGCGGATACGCGATATTAGATTAATCGCTTATTAATCTATAACAAATATTCCGGGAATATTCCATTCAAACGTGTACGACTTCGTTATACTAGATATGTACATAAATGCTGTTGCCGAACAGACTGCAACGAGTTTCAACAGATTCAGTATATATTACTTTAATAAATAGTTTGTCTCGTCGGTTATCGATTCGCGTAAGTTATACAATTAAATATGATAAATGGAGATATAATTTTATAATAAAATCCATCAGACATTTATTGCTTTTATTGATTCAATTACACGGACGTGATCAAGACTTAACTAGTTCGAATAAATAACAATCGTATATAGTTTCCTATCACCCAATAGATACTTCAATCACCGTTTAATTACATTCTAAAATTAATTATTAATCCATAATGTATGCAAAATACGTGCAATGTCATCAAAATAATTATAATATTATGGTACGCGTTACAATCAGATTTCTTCAAAACAATATTCTACTCGTAAAGTAAAAAAAATTTAACAGTAAACAAAAAAAATTTTTTGTTTTCGCCGAGCAGGTGCTCGACGCTCTCGCGGGGCTCGAAATTCCTGGCAGCTGGGGTGGGGGTTTCGACTTTCGCCGGTGCACGGAGGTCGCGACCGAAGCTCATTACGACGCTGGCACGCGCCGCGGCGGGATCACGCGTCGAAGTACGTATTACGGGAAGTGACTTATTTGAAGTGTGAAAGTGAGCCGATACGACCTGGGGTAAAGTGCACGCAGCCAGAGGCCTGTACCTGCACCCACCGCCGGCACCCAGTTTGTCTGATACACAGAGGTATGTTGATGAAACGATATAAAAAGATTGATAAAAAGGTTGTCCGTCCGATGGAAATGTTAATCTATTTTTGAAGCGTCGAGAAATCTGGTGGAAGCAACCCTTGCTTAACGCGGAAATGCATATTAATTAGTTATTCATGCAGTTAATATAATGCTTATAAATATATGTTTTTTAATCTTATAGATACGTGTGACCTTGTACTTACGAGGTCAAAGTAATATCAATTGAGTCTCGTATAAAAGGTAGTTTATTAAATCGAAGGTCGATCGTTTATACATTTTTCTGTCAACATTTTATAACGTATCTGAAATTAAATGAAGCTTTATTCAATGAAATCTTATTGCCCAGAGGTAATCTCGCTAATATCAAGGTTCACCGACTGTATATTCGTCCATGCATTGAAATCACTCCTACTTCGTATTTAGATTGTAAATTCGACATATTTTATCGATCAACGACGTCATTTCTAATACCGCGTTAAGTAAGGGTGAGTTATACCAATGGTCAATGGTTCTCACATTATTTTGTCAACTGTTCTACACTTCTAATGTACTGATTTTAAACGTAAAAATGGTGAACGTGTTCCTTGAATTTTTATATTTGATTAAGAAAACACTTATCTTTATTTCTTCTAAATGTATTTAGTCGCATATTATTATGTTATTCAGGAATTTAATTGAGATCCTAAGTTTGCTCAGTTCAGTGTTATTTTTTAACATAAACTTGTTGTCTAACGTTTATGGTAACAAGATGAACTTGTAATTAGTATTGAATAATTGATAGTACTGTCGAGCGAACGCGATCGATGCAGTAAATTCTGTACACAAGGCGTGTTGATACTGTAGCGATAAGTGTTTCCCGTTTTCCATCTCGATCGCGCGAGATAGTAGAATATTGATTAAGTCTTGTAATATTACGGTGAATTACAACTATAGAGCTTGTGCAGCATTACATGAATTAACTACTATAAACGTAAAACAGACTGGTCGAAGCTACGGGTCTTGGGAGATTGAATAGAACTTATTTATCTTCATTTCTCTAAAAAAAATAGAGTTCTCGGGGAAAAAATTCTACGGTTTATTCGTCAGAGAGAGAGAGTCTAACCGTATAACGTGTACTTTCCCATATCCTCTACAAACGTTCGTCAGTTGAATAAAAATCTTTTTTACACCTCGATGAATCCTCAAATATGTGTTGTAATATTTTTCAAGTAATCAACGAGGAATATTTTTAATAAATGAAACATCGTTCCGAGAAAAATATTTGGATAGTTTAACAAGCTCTCTAGTTGAAATCGTTTATTTATTTACGAAAGCTCAGCCTCGAAGGCTAGACGTCCATTTACTAATTACACACTATTGCCCGATGGTGTAGTACCGACTTTATGACGCTCATTAGGTATATGCGTGTGCGGACGTTGCTTGTATCGGTTTTGTCATTAGCAGAACTTGTATTTTACGTTGCCAGCTGAAGCGGGCGGGGGAAATACTTTGATTTCCCCGGCCCGTATACAATTTCCGAATATAATTAGGAACTATTAGCGCAGTGGCGAAATCTTAATGGGTAACGCTGGATGATTGATGAGAATTTTCCTGCTGTCTTTTATCAACAATTTAACAATCGTCATTACCATTCGGGTTTTCCCTGAATGCCTTATTCAACTGTTTATAAGGATGCGTGTTTCTTTTCGTCTGGAATCATTAATCAAAATCAAAATTAACTGACGCAACCTTTATACCATTATCGGGAACTTATCGATTTTTATTTTCCGTTCCTCGCGTCGAATACACTGACTGGCAATTTATTATAGGGGGAACATTAATTATCAGGGCAGGATAAATAATCTCGCAAATAAATGTTGTTCGCGTGTATTTCGGCCCAGTTTGCTTCACGCATGGTTTCAGGGAACGTCAGAGTTCCTCATGCGTGGTTATACCATAAAATCGTTCGAACGATTCTACGACCAAACTTTTCCAATTAGGCTCCACACAATTTTTCATATTTCAATGAATTCCAATTCGTAATGGATAGAAGAAGTATCTCCGTGCATGAGAATTGTTATGGCTGACGATTTGATGAAAAAATCTCTCGTTAAAATACCGAGAATATCGTTGCTACTTTTTGACGAGTCGCGGGGAACCGAAAGGGGATGTTAGAATGTTTTCCTGGTCTGATTGTTCTCCGTTATTACGGAGCATCGTTCGCCTTTTGTATCCGTGCATCGCGACTTCCTCGTCGACGTGTGCGCATCTCTCTTTTTCCCGTTACGGTTTACTTTGAAAAAAGCTTTCGTGAAAGCTCGTGCTTGGATAAACCTGAAAGCGGTGGTATAGATATACGCCGTGTACGTAGTAGGTAGTCATCTTTCAGGACTAGCTCGGCGGCAAAATTGCCAAATGGTGTTTCTCGTTTCGACGCCCCACGGCTGCAAAAAGCGATACGTTTGGATTGAAATGATCCATTGTATTGCTTTGTATGCAAGCCCCGGGCCCCCGCGCCTGTGTACACGCGGTGGCATAGCGCTTGCAAATATCCACCGGTTCCTACATAATTTCGTGTTTCACCTGCGAATATAATGATGTGTCATTGCCGCCGTTCCACCATCGTTTCCCCGCTGCGGCGCGTAATATCGCGAAAAAGGAAGAAGGCAACGCTCGGCGCGTTTAAATATTTATACCGCGACTTACGCGTGCTTCCGCGGTTAAATTATTGCCTGCATTCTTGCGCGAATGTTCGTTCAACGAGTACACTTTTTGATAATACCTGTTCTGTTTCTTTCATCGTTCCCCCGGCATTTTTATACCCTACAATTATAAACGTGTTTACTACTGTTCCTTAAAGAGAGACGTCTGTATAATTTTTTCTCGATGTTTGTTCCGTTTCGAACATCAATTACGGGTAGATTAAAAGGTGCTGATATTACGTATCGTACGCAAGAAAAATGTTAAACGCAGAAATGCGGAGAGGTAAAAACAGTCGGGAAATAAACATGGAGGAGCGGGAGTAAATGAGGGACGGGTGAAGCGTACGCGCAAAGAGATAAAGATAGAGGAAAATATAGAAAAGCATGGCGGCCGCGGTAGGCAAAGGGGCGTGGGTGGGAGAACGGTGAGGTAGGAGATGAGGATAAAGAGAGATTGGGGAAGAGGTAGGGAGAATGATCCCAAAACCCAGAGGAGTTCCTGGCACCACGAAAAATAGGGCTCCAGAGCCCTCTTACCATTTCCAAGTTACGAGCGACATTACAGACATATCCCGCATAACACAACGGTGGGCAAAAGTCGAGGATAATCGAGGAGAATTCTACCGTGAGATAGGTCAATAAGAAGGGGAGAAAAAAAGCGTAGGGAAATTGCAGTGACCCCGCGCCGTCGTTCCGTGGTTTTTTGTCAGTGATTGAAGGGACTGGGGGTGATATTGCGGCCGGCGATGCTTTTTCTTACCGCGCGCTATTGTTTGCCGATGATTTACGATCGCAATAATGCCTATACAACCGAAATTCTCTTGGCCTCTCCTGAGGAGGAAAGAGAGCTCGCGCTCGACTGCTTTATTTCCCCGGTTTTAATTTAAAAGATAATTGCGAGAGTCCGCAGATCCGGTTTAAAATTTCCATCAATTTAGCAGGAGAGACTTAATCGCACCGGTATTCCAGTCGCATTAATTTTTAACTTTTTGCGGCGACGCAACGGTGATGGATTAACTGAAAAGCACGCGTCCATATATCGCTCATTTAATTGGACATCGAAGATTTTCAACTGCGAGGCAATAAATTCCCCTTCCGCGTAACGCGGCTAGTCGGTGGACGTGAATTATGGGCACGTAAAATTTTAATCCCCTTATGATGATCGTTTTGACGCGGCATTAAGCGTTGAACAAGATTATTACAAGCACCGATGATCGAAATTGTTAAGCGGCCGGTTATTAATGACCCTCCTGAGGCCGAGATAGATCGTGCATCCCGGAACTGTCAGCCGTCACTAAAAAACAATATCCAATTTGCGAAACGACCACTTCCGATGAAGACGTGCAATTTAAATAATTCGGTGCATTAATTAAAATACACAATTAGGAGAAAACTTAATATCGTTTCCTATCGCCAGAACTTCTAAATTTCATAATAACATAGGAAATTCCTGTTTCGATACAAGGGCCAGAAAGAATTGTGAAGGAAGCTGCTGCGTCGTTGATCTATACACAGATTGTCTTCATTTGTCTGTTACGTTTGAAGATTATGCAGATTCCTACGTATTCCGGGTTTTATCCTCTCGGTGTGCGCAATTTTTAAAGCTACTTTGTCGCATGAAAACTCAGCTGGCCGTGTACGCGAAGCGAGCGGGTATAAAAAATTCGTTTTCATTACCAGGGAGACCTGGCTCGGTCCTGATATTTTATCGAGTGGCGCGGAGAAAAATAGTCGGTCTAAAATTGTTTAATGCTTTTATCAAATTTAACGAATTCTGCGTGATGCTCGTATGAAAAAATTAGATCGGAGACGTGTTACATTTTTAATCCGGAATCAGCGTGGAGATTACGAGGCCCGGGGCATCATTTCTCACTGTTCTAACTCGAACACGCCGCCCGACGTTGCCCGCTTCTAATCTTAACTGGCTCGTTCAAATCCCGGTTGAAGCCGCGGCTCGCATTTATCTCCACTCCTTTTCCTTAACTGTATCATCAGTTATTTAAGCACCGCGTACCGTTCATCAAATCCGTGCCCGGAGTGATAGCAGGCTCGCGTGGGCCTCGTCGCTGGGACGAGGTAGACGTAGGGCTCTATACTCGATTTTACGCAATGCATTTTAATCGCGGGTTTAAGCGTTACGAGCCACCTGAACTCGGGTACCCGGAAATCGTTTCAAAAATCGAGTCGAGCAAAAAGGAAGACTCTGTTCCTTTGTCTTGCATCCCAGTTTTCACCGTTTTTCCCCTTTTCTATGCGTGTTCGATCTCGATACTCATTTGCGTCGGCTTTTATCGGTTTCCACAGATTTTCCTTT